TCTCTTCTGACATCCATTTTGATCTTTTCCTTCTTTCTTGTCTTAATGTCTTTTTACTTTCTTCCTGTATGATGTCCTTGATGTTATCCCACAACTCTTCTGGTCTTTGGTCTTTAGTATTTAATGTATCAAATCTATTCTTCAAATGATGTCTAAATTCAGGTGGGATATACTCAAGGTTATATTCTGGCTTTTACATACTTATTTTCATTTTCTTCAGCTTCAGTCTGAATCTGATATATGAGCAATTGATGGTCTGTCCCACAGTCTGTCCATGGTCTTGTTTTATTTTATTTAAGTTTTTATTGTGAATTGAGTGATAGTTTACATGAGAGAACATCAGTTTTACATTCATCCTATTATATTTCATGCAATGATTACAATCCCCTCCCTCTGTGGTTTTTTTGTTTTTTTTTGGGTTTTTTTAATACACTGCAGCACCCAAGAATATATAACCATTCAAACAACTGAAAGGTGTACCCTGGAAGCCTGCCCCCCTGCCACCAGCACACAGCCCCTCTTCCTCCCTGGGTCTAGAGTCCCCAGCCACTCCATCTGTCAATGTCACCATCTCTGTCTCCAGCTCTGGCATCACTGCTTCTCTGGATAGGTTTCTGCACTCTGATCTTCTCCCTTGATGATCCCAAAGTCTTCCGCTCCTAGACTGCAAGATTAATCACTCCCTTCCTTTTGTTACAAAATGTCAACTTTTACATTTGCAACATTCACCAACAGTCCTTATAGCAATTATTTGCTACTGAACCACAAAAGTCTTATGCCCATCTCCTTTTACCAGCCCCGCCCAGACAGGTTGGAAACCACTCAGTGGAGATTTTACTTTCCCGGGTGCCCTCTTGAAAGCTTGTAAGCCAGTCACTTCATGCCTTAGTAGCACCCACCCCATTTTGGGTGGTCATTGTCTAAATTGCCTATCCCTATCAACCCTGTGTAGAGAGGGTGTGAATGATCCTTGTTGTAAAAATTTGTTCCCTCTTTTAAGCTACTACATCCATAAATATAGGTCAAGTTCTTCAAATTGCAGTGGATTACACTTTTTTTCCTCTTCTTTCATCCTCTAGTCGAGTTCTGATCATCCAGCCATTGAAGCTAGGTCAAATGTGTACTATCTGCAAGTATGGGTGTTCTTGTGCATCTCTCACTTCATATCAGCTGGATGCTTCACTCTCTGCTCTAGTCCTCTGTGACTATGTCCCTGTCTATGGGCTCAAGAGTCCCCAGGTCTTGCTATACTGCTGGCCAACCAGGTCTCAATTCAGGTTGACAGGAGTCTATTGAAAGTGGTCGGACTTAACTCATAGCTTCATTGCTGTTTTCCCCTCACTTCCCCTTACCGTGGCCTTGTTTTGGCTGATGATATGGATCTTTTCCACCTTTTAATCCCCTAGATGTAGTTAATTTGGCATCTGTGCATTCCATCTGGTGAGGTCCATGCGTATAGTCGTCTTTTACATGTAATTTTTAATTAGCATACTAAGTTTAATTTTATTAGCATACTGATGAACTTACTATGCTAATAAAAATTACATGTAAAAGTTCCATTTCTCTTGAATATTGCTCTTGATAGGAACATACATCCTATAACATAAAATATAATTTAATCATATATAATTCAGATGCCTTGAACAATGACTTTTCCTGCAGTTGGAAGTCTGTGTATAATTTACAGTTGACCCTTGAACAACATGGGCTTGAACTTGGTGGTCCCACTTAATACAGATTTTGTTTTTCCTGTTGCTACTGCAGTGAGTCCAAGTGTTTTGAGGATTTGCTTAACATGGGGGTGATGCTTATAATCTCTGAAGTTCATCTCTATTGCAGGGAACAACGGCTTACACAGAGATGATTAGTGTCCTGCAGTGTGTTAAGTGGATACTCGCAACACTTGATCTTACTCCAGTAGAAATAAGAAAAAAAAAATTTTTTTTTCAGGG